AACCGCTCTGACCGGCGTCCTCAACATCGAAAACGCCGAAAACGGTGTCAGGACAGGACATGAGATTGTCCGGAGAGACGGGTGGGTAACCGTTGTCCGCGAAAACAATGTCCTGAAGGTGGATATGGAGAAGATGAGATCTCGGGTGGGGGAACTGGAAGAAGAGTTTCAGAAGATAAAGCACGAGATGAAGAGTGTGAGCTGCAAGTCACATAGCTCTATGGCAGCGGCCTCGCCTCGTCTGGTGAAGATCGGTTGCAAGCTTCTTCTCCCTCGTGGTTCGGATGCCAAAAACGACGTCGTTTCCTCTACTCCGAGATCTTCTTCCGCCGACCGTGATGCTCCTCGCCCTTCCCGCCATTCCAGACACCGGAAAAGCTTCTCATTCTTTTGAAAGTTTCCCTCCAAACACAATCAGACACAAAAAGCATCTCTGTTTTTTTTTTTCTGGGCATTGTCCAGAAAAAAAAAGCTTCTCCCTTTTTCACTGTAATTCTCCTCCGAGAAAAAATCCGACAACGGAAGCTCGACATCTGAAGCCTTGCCTGAAGATTCAGCTACCTGGTTTCAGACATGGGAATTCACGACAGATAAGTACATAGGCAGAGTTCAACGTTTACAGAAGAAGATAGTATATTCTTGATTTGTTCATTTTGCTTTGGTTTGTAGATCGTCTCCATGTAAATGAATATTGAGGTTTGGGGAAAAGAGAGAGTAGCTTACGCAGTTATGTAAGAAGAATATCGCAAGCGCATTGACGAGAATCCATTAGGACCAATAATATGTTGCCACATGTCGAGCAACTGTACACCCGACCCTACAGTATCATTTTTCGATCTGAGACGACGTCGTTTACTTTGAAAAGGGGATTACAAAGTACAAACGGTGCGGTCTCAAGCATTTTTAAACGACAGCGTTTTAAAATTTTAAAAATTATAGAACGGTGTCGTTTGGACAATTGCGACAGCTGTCGTGTGAAGAGGGACGCGGCTTAGCGTATATATATTATATCTACCCCAAATTATAACCGTTGTATATTTTCTTCGTCTTCCTCTTCAAACCCTTCTTCTTCGGCTCTTTCCGGGTTTGCGATTTCAGAGATTGTTGCTTCTCGATGAAGCAATCTTCGTTGGGGGATGGTTGGGTGTTCCGTCACGTTGGATGCCATGTCAATTCGTTCAAATTGATCAGTTTATCGTTCACGGTCGTTGTCTCGCCTACGACAACAACGGTGGTAGAGAGGAACCGTGGTGATAGAAATGTCAAATCAGTACTTCTGGTAAGTTTCTTGAAAAATATGCTTGAATATTAACTATGATTCTATAGCCATTGGTTTCAGCTGCGTTCTCTCTCTCTCGCTCGTCGGTGGTGATGGCTGGATCTTCGGTTCACCGCGGAGGCGATGGAAATTCCTGGAGTGGTTCCTTGACTATGGGCGCCCAATAATCTCTTTCTCTGTTCTTGCTAGTGATGGTGTTTTATCGAGTTCCTTTCTGGTCATACCGTCGTAGATATGGTAAGGTATTCTTTTATCACTGTCTTGATTCTACAAAGACATCCTAGTTCTAAAGTTCACTGTAGAATCTTGCTGTGGGATATTCCATTCACTGATGATTGTATCTTTCTCGGGTCATTCTTTCCAAAATTTTGTTCTGAGTAGTGGAAGTATCCCCTAAATGTGCTTTCCTTTCCAAAATCTTGTGCTGCGATTGTTGTTGAAATATGCAGGTTGTGGGTACATCATGAAACTCGTACAGATCATATAACCGTGCTACTCGTTCACATTGGTGGTAAGAGAGCTTCTTTAAGTAGATTGTTCATCGTTTTTTGCAACATAACTTGCGTATCGCATCTCTTATCATAAGATTTTATTCCACAAGTTGGGGAGTTCACAGGTTCAGAATCAACGTGTGAGGCACGATTCATCTCGGGCTAGAACGCGTGGCCTCGAGAGGTCTCTAGGATGGACATGTTTGGGTAACTGGGTTCCTCTATCTCCTGTTCATAGGAAAATTTGGGAAGATGAAGTAGTATCATCGTTTTTTTTCCTCTTCTGCTTTCCAATTCTTCATCACCTTGTGGCAAATTTATCTGGAATTTCCAACCTCTAAAAACATTCTTGTTGCAGGTACACATTGAGCGGGTACTGCGTGACCATTTCCCCTTCAGGAAACTCAATGATTCCCGGTGTCAGGTTTTGTTGGATTGCAGGCAAAGAATTGAGGTTAAGCCAGGGGATATTGTTGTTAAACAGGTCTGATAACTTTTCCTTTGGACTTTATCCCATCTAGTGGAAATTTTAGAAGTTCATAAGGATTGTTCTGTGCCCAGAGGGAACCTGTGTGCCTTGTTTTCCTGCAAGAACTGAAGAAGCATACTTCTCTTCGATTGCGTGCTTTGTATTTGGATATCGGGCATTCATGCAGAAACTAATATCATTCTTGCACATGTTTATACTTTTTCAGGGCGGTGAGGGAGATTGTTCCTATGCTTTCGGTAGTGGAGAGTTCAAGGTCTTGGCAACTCAGGTTTGTAAAATTGTCGCTTCATTTGGCTCTTGCAAGAATTTCTTTTTAACATCATTGGCTCCTTTTTCTGTGATGTTGAGTTGTTAAAGAGCTACCCACTTAGCATTAATAACTTGTAGTTTCACTGTCTCTAACTTCCAATGCATGCCAGGAAGAAAGGAATGGGAAGGTACCGAAGATTTTGTGGCACTGTACAGTTAAGAAGGTATCATCCTTTGGTGAGCTGACCTTGATGTGGGTAGGTTTGCTGCCCTTTTTCTGTCTTTCAACCGATACATTGGAATAGCAAATACATTCCTCTGGAAAAGAAAATCTGATTTGTTTTGGTCTTGATCTTCTATTACTCTCTCATCTTAATATAATTTATTTTTGGGTATGTGATGGTTAATGCACACCAAGGGCAATGAAACGAGAAGATATCGAGGAATTCTGATGTCTGAGTTTTCAAACATGGCACCCTTGAAGCTTCTTCGATCTGTCAATCTTCTTTTCCTGTCTTATGATTCTGCAACTGATTCATGCTGCCGAAAGTTTTCTTTTCAGATGGACAAACAATAGCTGACAAGGTGAAGTTAATTTCCCGTACCTAACAAAAATTTTCTGCTCAATGAACTAATTTCGAATATCATCATGTAACTGCAGAGAAGAGGACTTGAGGTGAGGGGCTGTATGTTATTCAGAAGGGACTTGTAAGAATTTCAATGCACATGTTTATACTTCTGCAGGATGGTGAAGGAGATTGCTTCTATGTTGTCGGTAGTCTTGGCAACTCAGGTTTGTCTGAATGGTCGCTTCGTTTAGCTCTTGCAAGTATTTTTTTTAGCATCATTGCAACTTTTTCTGTGATCCATTACCAAAAAAAAAAACTTTTACTGTGATCTTGAGTTGCTAATCATGGATTTAATAATAACTTGTAATGCTTCTCATAGATCATGCAATCATGGGCTTAATCATGGATCATTGATTCACTGTTCATAACTGGGAATGCATGTCAGGAAGAAAAGAACGGTGAGGTGCCGTGGATTTCTCTCTCTCAAATAGAGGGTCGGAAGCGAATCCGAGTTAGGGATGCACGAGAACTCGGAGCCGACCAAAAACTTTCGACCACTCATATGATGCCACCTGTCAAAACTCCGGTAAGCTAGACCGTACATAATCATTTTCAAACCCAAAACCCTTCGATTCTTCGAAGAATACGTGCCTTCTACCACCACCGTCATGTGGCTTTGAGTTTCTTCATATACTGTTTAATATTCTGGATTTCGTCGATTTCTCCAGGAAAACCCCACACAGAAAAAGAGAATCTTTGAGACGAAATGTCGATCACCCTAAAGATTTCGTCCATTTCGAGTTTCTCCGACGATGGGTTCAATGGGTTAGATCCAGCGAAGCAATGTTGCCTCATTCCAGTGTTTGAAATTGGGTCGATTCGTTTTCCTGGAAGTTCTCGTAGCGAATCTGCTCGAATCCGTTTGCTGTCGGCGCAGCCTTCCCGCCAATTAAAGACCCGATGTGTGGGATTAGATGCGGCGATTCCAGGCGAGAAGTCCAGTCGGTCGGTGCCGGAGTGGGTATATAGTGGCGTGAAGGATGAGAGCGCCGGGGTTTTGGAGCCTGAAACCGGCGGCGGAGATGGCGGCGCCGGTAATCAAAATAGCGGTGGCGGTGGCGGCTGGAACAGTGGTGACGACGGCGACGGCGGGGATGGAGAGGATGAAGCAGACAAGGCAGAGGAGAAAGAGTTTGGTCCGATACTGAAGCTGGAGGAAGTGATGAGAGAGACTGAAGGTAGAGGAGTGACTCTGCCGGTGGATATGTTGGAGGCGGCGAAGTCTGTCGGAATTCGGAAGCTCTTCCTCCTTCGTTACCTCGATTTACAGGTTGCTTTGATAACATTCGTTTCTTGAATTCATAAAAAAAACAAAAGTTGAAAACTTTGGTAATGGAACAAAGTGACTCAGAAGACTGAATGATCATATTTGGAAGAGTACTTTTGATCTTGAGCTTGATTGTTGGGTATTGCTTTGTTTTGATTTATGTTCTTGATGGAATTTGCAGGGTTCGGTTTGGCCGCTCGGTTTTCTTATGCGGAACTGCTCAATGCTTCGGAACAGAATGCTTGCTGATCCTTCGTTTCTTTTCAAAGTTGGAACTGAGGTTTGTCAAGGTTAAACTATATAATTCTCTTTACATTATTGATTATTCTATGAAGGTGTTAAAAAAAATTGGACTGCCATTGAGTCGAGGAAATCTATGTAAAATTCTTTTTTGGGCTGATATGATGTGATGTAGATAGCCATAGATTCTTGCTGTGCAACATTTGCGGAAGTTCAGAAGAGGGGAGAAGATTTCTGGTCTGAGTTCGAGTTATATGCCGCTGATCTTTTGGTCGGTATTGTTGTCGACATTGCATTGGTCGGACTCTTGGCTCCTTATGCACGTATCGGGAAGCCATCGGTGGCATCAAAAGGTTTATTTAGGGACCTACAACGAGCTTCTGCAGCCCTTCCTAGCAGGTAAAAACCGCTAGGACAGTCTGTTTAATTATTCGTCAACCTTAGATTTGGTTGTATATTCTTCTTATGAAATTTACTATAGAGGTTATACTTTGCTTATGCAGTGTTTTCGAGGCTGAGAGACCCGGGTGTAAATTCACAGTTCAGCAGCGGATTGCAACGTACTTCTACAAGGTATGTAGATAAGTTAACAAGAGTTTGACTAGCAGTTGTTTTCTTAGTTTATGTTCTTCTTGCGGTGGAATTGATCGGTGTGGTCCTGGATTCTTAGGGCATCTTGTATGGTTCAGTTGGATTCGGCTGTGGCCTCATCGGTCAGGGAATTGCAAATCTTATCATGACAGCAAAACGGTATTCTTCCACCTTCAGTCTCACCGTTCTTGCCTTAGATTTTGGTTATATGACGACAAACATGATGTGCCATAGTTTTAGATTTGCAGGGAAATGATCATGAAAATTGTTTTCTTCTATGGCTATTTTCTTTCTTTTTCGAAACCTTCTTTTTTTTTCGGGGAATGTTCGATTAATCAGTCCGGGTTTCTATGTCATCATCAGGAGTATAAAGAAATCAGAAGAAGACATCCCGGTTCCACCCCTTTTCCAAAGTGCTGCTCTCTGGGGTACGTTTTATACATTCTCTCTAACTTCCACTTCTCTTTTAGCTTATGCAACTCTGCTGAATCATGAAAGATCTTCGGCTTGTGGGTATCTTGGGCCATTTTGTTTTCCTCTGCTGCTAATAAATAAGGTAATCTTGAACTGTGAGACTTATCTTACTCTCCTCTGAGTTCTTGCTGGGCCTTTGCCATGTTACCCGAGTTCCATTCGCCTCCATGTACACCTGAACCTGGTCTGGAAGTAATTGGTTTCTCAAACGAGTTTCAGTTTTGGAAAGGAACTCCTATGGTACTGAGAATTTGGGGTAGGCTTGGGCACCTTAAATGGTGAGTATCCGCTTGACCTGTGAGTCAGGTACCAACTCGAGTATTTGTTTACCGGATGGTACGAGTACAGATCTGTTGCCAGCGAGAATCCGACCTTTGGGTATGAGTTCGGGTTTTGGCAGGCGACTACTCGTGTCCCGTGGGTACCCAAGTCAGAGGGTACATCTATATTTCCTCTCTCCGCCGTTTTCTCTTTCCTCAACCCCACAGATACCTGAGCCCTCATTGCATCCCGCCGCGCTGGTACCCAAAGCTCGGGGACCCAACCTTCACAAGGTCAAGACCGAATACTCTGACCAAAAAACCCAAGGGGGATAAATCGAGACCGGGAACATCGGAAAACTCGGGTATCCGACTGCACTCCCCCGGATTGGTCTGCCTTACAGTTCATGTTACATTACCACTTGGGTTTCTCCTGTTGTGGTTACTTATACGATGTCGAGTTCATTTCGGTTATGTGGACTCTTCTTTTCTCCCTTTGTTTTTACATCATCATCACTGGAAATCTTCTTGCAGGACATAGTAACATGTCTGAAAAACTCATTTTGGATTGTTGATTAATTTCTTTATACAATGGTGTTTCTTGATCAGGTTTTTTCCTGGCCGTTTCTTCAAACACGCGTTACCAAATCATCAACGGATTGGAACGCGTCGTGGAAGCGTCCGCAGTCGCCAAACGCGTCCCAGCGGTTGCGTTGGCATTCACGGTGGGTGTCCGGTTCGCCAACAACATCTACGGTGGTATGCAATTTGTGGATTGGGCAAAAATGTCTGGCGTCCAATAAAAGCATAATCATTCCGGGTTTGGTTTAGGTTTGTTTTATCTGGTTATCTTGTCTTGTTATGTGCCGAGTTTCAGATTAGGAAAACCGGTTGACGAACCGGACCGAGAATCTCCTTGTTTCTGGGTAAGCTTTTATAATTTATACACATGGAGAAGCTCGAGTAATTATAATTTGGTAAAACGTTTAAAAATATCTTCAGATTAGCACTTTTGGACCAAGACAACGCCACCTTCTTCGTGACTTTTTACCGTTGAGAAAGGGGAAAGAGAAAAGGAATTCATGCTTTCGGTGTTTTTTTTTAATTGAATTAAATAATTCTTTAAAATAACAAATAAAAAAATAAAATGAATAAAATTCTCAGGGTCGTTGAAAGCATCATTTTTGGTCGAAGGGGGATCATTTTGTTTTTTTTTTTTAAATTATAAGGCTTAATTTCCTTCGTTTTAGTTAAAATAGCTAAATAATATTAAAATTTGATCAATTTCGGTAATGAAAATTTTCAATTTAAATGTTAAGGGAGGGTTTTGGTGACATACCCCATGATAGTCCAAATGGCCTAAAAAGGAATCTATGAATAATGATGACTTGTTGGAGATTTACATGGACAACTGTTTTCCGAGTGGAAATCTATCTCATATATATCACAAACAACTATGACCAAAAAAAAAAAATTCTAGTTTTTTTATTTGCTTTCCTAAAAGGACAAAATACGATAGTTTTTCTATCAATAATACCTAAAATTTTGAATATTCAAAAGGCTAGACCGTCTAGTTAGATTAAATATACAATGATTATTAATTGAGAATAAGAAAATAACAATTTGTAGTTGAAAGAAATTGAAATTGGTACTAGAATATTCTTATCTGGCAGAAGCGACAAAAACAATAATTTTAGGGCTCAAAATGTAATAATTTAAAGGTTCGGGGTCTTAATAAAGTTCTAAACTGAAATAGATGAAAACCAAATTAAACGGCATTGAGTAGGCAAAATCTGAAATTAACAAAAAAAAAAAAACGCCTCCTGTCCCTTCTTCCCGTAGGCTCTCTCCCCCTCTCTCCATTTGGAGGATCACTCGCCATTCGAATTCTTCAATTTGGAGGAGCCATTTCTGTTCGAGATCAGGTTTTCCGATCTCCGCTTCGGAGATTTCGGTTATGCACGAACTGTAGTTTGTCGTCGTCGTCGTGGTTAGATCCGTTTTTGGGTCGGTGGAGGCGGACGGTGGATCTGAGGAACCTGTTTCGCCATGACAGGAATGAGAGGTCTCTCCGTCTTCATCAGTGATATCCGGAATTGCCAGAACAAGGAGCTAGAGCGTCTCCGCATCGATAAGGAGCTCGGTAACATCCGCACCTGTTTCAAGAATGAGAAGGTTAGGGGTTTCCTCCTCTTCTTTTCCTTGCATTTCCTTTCCTATATTATATTCTGTGTCTCCGATTGAGTAGTAATTGAGTTTTGGAGTATCCGTTTTGATGGGCTCAAGGGATGTGATGATATAGTGATTTTGTTCACATTAGAGATTTAGATGCCGGTTGTTTATTGAGGATGTTGGGTTAAGAAGGATGTGACCATTTTTTCAGCTGACCTTTTGGCTTTTCCTCCGAAAATTGTTTATAACTTGAGTACAATCCGGTTGTATAGTAAAGGGGAAGCTACGGATTTCAAGAGAAGAACTAGACTTGAGTTAAATATGTGCTATTGGCGCAGCTTTTTATTCAAATACCAAGTACCTGAATGGAGGGTTTGGAGTTGATCAGGATTTACCGTAATGATTTTGAATCTTGTTATAGGATTTTGACTTCATGTTCTCTTGCAATGAAGGGCTGGTTATTTGGGCTTCTCTATGATTTTCTAAGACAGTTTTAATACTTCTGAGAAAACTGGTAGTGTATCAAAGCTGAGAGAGATGTTTAGGAAGAGGGTTGTAGTGATTACTTCCATCCTTTTCAAATGTTATTGGATTAGTTTAGTTGCGTAATTCATATCCTTCCGATAAGAAATGATGCACTTTGGCAGAGAAGGTAAGCATTATTTCACTGAATAGTGGTTCACTAGAATTGTTTGTGTACATGTTCGGAGCTCAGCCATTATTAAGTTCTTTGTGATGCTTACAGCTGGGCAGGCTTCTATCTGGGAGCTCACTGGGGTCTTTTGAGTTGATCAATGATGTAGATATTAAACTAGTTCTTGTCATTCTAACTTTCCTATTTTTTTAAATAAAGTATAGAAGGGCAGATGATATCCTTATATCAAAAGAGCACTAGAAGGGGGAAAAGTTAACCCGAACCTCTGTGCTGCCAATACTTTTCGTGATTGTTGATGATGTAAGGAAAGAAACTGAGTTTTAAGGAAAAGATTTAAGAAGCTTATTGCAAAATGAGTCAAGTTGGGTCGTTGCAACAGGTTATGGGGTTGGTTCTAGGGTCCATATTGAAAGTAGGGGAGCTTTAGCTGGTGAATTTGGTTTGTCAAGCAATCCTTGGTTAGCTTGGAACGAACTTCAAGATTCATGTCAAATTTATCAAGCAAACATTGGTTAGCTTGTCATGTGTGGTTTTATGTTTGACAGGTGTTGACGCCATATAAAAAGAAGAAATATGTCTGGAAAATGCTTTATATACATTTGCTGGGTTATGACGTAGATTTTGGTCATATGGAAGCGGTTTCTCTTATATCGGCACCAAAGTATCCAGAAAAGCAGGTACTCTAAATTCATTTCATTTGTTTTATCTATGAAATACCAGTTTTTGAAGATAGGATAAAGGGAATTGAGAGGGGGTATTTGTCTTTGACTATGAATCTAATGATCTAGTTGGAATAAAGCAAAACTTTCAGTGAGGATCATGAAAATCAAGGTTCAATGACTATCATGTGTATACTATTTGAGGTGCTTGATACGCTTGCAACTTTATTCCATTTTAAGAATCTCATTTTCTAATGAAGACATTGCCCAGAAATGTTCCAGTTCTTTAATGCTAACTGTGCTAACTGAGATTGATAATATCATGTGTTTGTGAATACATCTTAGTACTCTCTATGTATTTTGACCTCACAAGGGTTTGTATTAGTAAAGTTTTATGTTTGTATGCTCTTGCAGTGACTTGAATGTATTCTATTTTCCTTCCATGATTGCAGGTTGGTTACATTGTCACATCTTGCTTGCTCAATGAGAACAATGATTTTCTGAGGCTAGCAATAAATACAGTTCGGAATGATATTATTGGTCGGAACGAGACTTTCCAATGTTTGGCTTTGACTTTGGTACGTGCCCTTGCGTCTATAACATGTTGAGATCTTGGAGTGCAGTTATGTTGTTATGCTAAGGAGATGTAGTTAACTGTCTGATTCAATATAATAATACCTCTAAAAGAGATGATATATTTTATGCTTGTTGTTCTGTGATTTAAAGCCGTTTCATGAACTTGTACTTTTTAGTTTGATAGCTCTTCTTACTTTTGTATATGTGTTCTCTTGTAGGTTGGAAATATTGGGGGAAGAGAGTTTGCTGAATCATTGGCACCTGATGTTCAAAAGCTACTTGTAAGTGACTCCAACAGAGGCTACAAATTGAGAATTTTTGCCATGGTAAAATGGACAAATTGATGTTAAGGGACTTGTTTGTTTTAGATCTCCAGTAGTTGCAGACCTCTTGTAAGGAAGAAAGCTGCACTATGCTTGCTGCGCTTGTTCAGGAAAAATCCCGATGTTGTCAATGTTGATGGCTGGTATGTATTAGGACTTGAGTATCTCTGGTTGTTTCAATTTACTTGTGTATCACTGTATCTTTCCTTCATTCTTGTTATGATGTGCTTACAGGGCTGATCGGATGGCGCAACTTTTGGATGAACGTGATCTTGGTGTCTTGACTTCTTCTACGAGTCTTCTTGTAGCTTTGGTTTCAAATAACCACGAGGCATATTGGAGTTGTCTTCCTAAGTGTGTGAAAATACTGGAACGCCTTGCCAGGAATCAGGATGTCCCTCAAGAGTACACATACTATGGTATTCCTTCTCCTTGGCTCCAGGTTTGTCTCAGATCAATTTGTGGACTCTTTCTTTAAAGCCCATATGCTTCTTAGGTGGTTTTCATTTTTCTTTTCCTGCATCCTTATTGTTTGGTCTGCCAACAATAGCTATGGTTAATTTTAATGCTTATTTGTCTTCTGTTAACACAGGTTAAAACAATGAGGGCTCTTCAGTATTTTCCTACCATTGAAGATCCCAGTACCAGAAGATCCCTCTTTGAGGTTCATTTCACTACCCAATAACTATCGTTTTTGTTTTCGTAACCTGTCTCACCTATGAGATTTCATATGGCAATTTCAGGTCCTGCAACGGATATTGATGGGTACAGATGTTGTAAAGAATGTGAATAAGAACAATGCGTCTCATGCTGTGCTGTTCGAAGCTCTTTCTCTGGTAAATTTGTAAACAGCTGGTTGGCAACAATATTACATTTGTGAAATTGGTGATGCACCTAATCGCTCCCCCTCAATTTTATGTGGCTACCAACACACCAGTGCTCAAAAGCAAGATTCCTGCTTGTGCAACAATTGCTTCCCTTCTTAAAAAAACACCCTCTCGTTCATCAACATTTTCCCTTATTTTTCTAAGAAGAAAATTCTAGTGCTTGGTCCCCTTTGCAAATTTCAAGTACTCTTTTCTTTCAGTCTTTCTTTCTCATTTTCCTTCTATTGGCATGAAGTGAATGAAGAATGTACTCTTTGACTTTGCCAGCAACTTCCTAACCTTCTAATAACCATCCCAATACAGGTCATGCATCTTGATGCTGAGAAGGAGATGATGTCACAGTGTGTTGCCCTTCTTGGCAAATTTATTTCTGTACGTGAGCCCAACATCAGATATCTAGGATTGGTGAGATTGACTGATTGCTTCTTTTCTTAAGTAGCGTAGCTGGAACAATAATTTCTGTAGTATTTGGTGCTGTTTTATGTGGGTTCCATATATTATTAGTTGGCCGTAATAATTCGTTTCCTATTATGCTACAGGAGAATATGACACGAATGCTGATGGTCACAGATGTTCAAGATATCATAAAAAAGCATCAGGCTCAGATAATCACCTCACTAAAGGATCCTGATATCAGGTTGGTTCATATTTGAAATTTTTTAATATCATCCGATGTGATGTTTTAATCCAAGGTCTCTTTCAGTTTTCTGATTTGGAAACGGTAT